TCGAAGTTGAAAAAGAAAGTATGTTTTGCGGAATTTTTAGTGAAGATTGTCAATGTGCTTGAGTGATAATCGCCAGACCGCTGGTTAGTCTATGAATATAACTTTTTCAAATCAATGCAATTTTTACATTAAAAAAACTAAATTATTTGAAAATTATTGTTGAAAAAAAACTAAATTATTTGAAAAACCTATTATTTGAAAATTCATTTTCGAAATTGTTTAAATTTAATGTATTTTTATACTTGGGAAGAAAGCACAAAATCGCTATGAACTTAACATACAGGAACACTTGATCAATAACGTAATTTTATAAAAAAAAAAAAAAAAAAAAAAAAAATGCATTTCGGACTGTTTGCTCCCACTTCGGGCTTTTTAATGTTAATGTGAATGACCGATATCTGGCGAATGTCAACATTCTTCGGTGAATGTCAGCATTCACACAGTCGTTTTGTGTATGTACGAAATATTTGCTAAATATCATTATTTCTCACTTACACCGTCAAATGTCGACATTCAGCATACACTGATAGTGAATGTTGAATAAAAATATTTTTATTACGTCAAGACAAACATGCAACTTTTTAATATGTCAAAATAGGAGAAAGCTTAAGTAACATCACATGTAAATAAACTGTTGAACCTAAAACGAACAGTACATTCTAAATCATTAAAGAAAATAATACAATAATAAACTTACACATAAATTATGTGATTAACGTTATACAATCTTATTTATTGCAACAACTTAAACTGTTATGGCACTTTGAATTGAACAAGAGTCTCTTGCTTTTACAACAGCATTTATTCGTGGAACACTTTTTGCAATGACAGCGTGTATAGCCTTGCCCTCCACTTTTCGAATTAGCTGCAGCTGCTTCTCTCGGCGATTTCTTGAGAAGAAATCTCATCTACGAAAAGTAACTTTTCTTTACAAATTACGAACTGATTACGTTATTACGAACTGATTTGTTAATGTTGTCTTTTATTCGGATATCGCCGACACCTTAACGACGACCCTCCTCATCCCCTGCCACTCGACGTGACAAACCGATCCCCACCTCACGGGATCAAAAGAACAAAAACGCCATCCAGTGACAAAGTGAGCAGTTTCCACCAAACCGTTGCCGGAAAGAGGTACGACCGTGTCCTACCTCCGGCTATCCACAAAGTATTTGGCGATAGACTGTCGCCTCTGTCGACATCGTCTTCTCGGGTGTCGTTTCGACCTCCACCAAAGCTTATCTGTGCTTGTCGACATACACCGGCGATTGTTCGAATGTATAATAATATAACCAAATATTCGGACTTTCACCTACGTATTTTGTATGTGTCGAAATTCACCGGAGAATATCAACATTCTCTAATTTCGGTCTTTCAGAGTAACATTTACATTCCTATTTGTCAATTTTACTTTTCCGGCTGTTACATATTACAGAGGGAAAGTATGGCGATAGGTCAAAAAATAACTCCCCCCAAGACTTACATTTTTGGGCTCAGGACACCTTGAAACGTGGAGAAATGAAAAAAAAAATCGTTTTTTTCTGTATGTATTGATGTTAGTATGGAGGACACGACTTTGTTCACTCTGCTTGAAACTTAACTCCTGTGCTTTTTTGTCGAAAATCTGAAATTTTGCAGGGTTTGTTTGTTAGGGCTATTAAATTTTGGTGGCTAAAGGTCGAGGCAGTGGGGAGATAATTGGAGTCGTATGCATCTCCAGGAGGATCGGACTTAATTACGATTTTACTCGTTATTAGCATTTACAATTTTTTAAAATATACAGCTCATCTCTACCCTCAAAATTAAGCTTGTAAGAAAGGAATGCGCGCTATAGGCTACAATTCTAGCATGTGTTTATGTTATGACCTTTGTTGTTTCAGCCATGTCTTCGCTACGCTGGGATTACGAAACAAAGCTGATAACATTTTCAGATGTAAAAATACGAATTTCGTTGATTTTATTGAAATTACAAGTTATGTACAGTACATATCACGACGGCGAACCCATTCTCAGTTCCTCGATTTCATTTATTAAATTTCTGCCAAACAGACAAATGGAAGCAGCCGAAGCTAACAAAATCGTTGCCATAGTTTGTAGAGGGGTAGACGAAACGTTTATTGGTTATTTGGAAATAGAAGGAAAAGTCGCTTCTGACATTACATCGAAAACGTCGGTATCGGTTAATTCTCGCCGCACTATAGAGATGCGACCAGTTATCATCACTGAAGCATTGTCGCCCAGAGACAATCTTCACTGAAAAATCCCGCAAAGCATATTCATAAATCGCTCGATATTTTTGAACTTCATTTTCTTGAAAACATTTCAGAAGAGAGTTTTATTGAATAAAGGTTCGTTTACAATCATAATCATTAAAAACTGATGACAACGTCGTGCCTTCGAGAAACATTGAAAAAAGTTTAAAATTGTGTGGCACCATCTGTTACGAGTTTCTTTAAAATTTTATATTATAATAAAAAGGCATGTTTTAAAAAAATTGTAAAATGCCAATGAGTAAACTTTTAAGTATGACCTCACTCGAACTATGACACGACATTTCCAACTTCCTAAACTTTAAACTACTGTACTAAACTTACACACAGATAATCCCGATTTCAAAATGTTTGTTCACCCAGTCCCGATATAATGCAAAATAGGCGCTGACATACAATTTTTCCCTACATTTATAGGCTCGTTAAGTGTCAAAACGCCAGATGAGTTTTAAAACTGGACTAAAATTTGACCGATCATTCTAACAGCCAGGAAAATAAAAATAATAGTTTCAAGAAACATTTTCTGAAATTACTGTACTTCTACTTGAATCTAAATATTGATATATACCGTTACAGCAATTACAATATTTTAATGGTTTGTAATGCTGACAAGATTGATTTTTAATCGTAATATTTAACATACGAAAAAACTAACTCATCTTTGTCACTATATACATGTAAAAATATTCAGCTAAATAACCGAGCTTCAATTTACTTGCGTAAAATTAAAATCTATACAGGTCTGTAATCAAAATTAACAAATGCACTAGTAAACTCATTTTCATTTTACAGTACAGTAATACCCCGAACTTAGGCGATAGGTGGGACCGAGAGATAACCGTGTAAGTCGGATGTATGTAAGCTAATAAATGTTCTCGTTAATCTTATCTCGTCTTTTGATTCGTTCACGGTTACAAGAAATCACCACATAGTCTCTCTCAAGTCTCCGTAGATATAACAAACACAGAAATAACACAAAATAAATTGTAGCTATGTGTCGATTCCGCGCGACACGTCCGAACATGCAAGCTGAACAATAGTGTGGGGGGAAGTGAGTAATCAAGAGTTGCGTGGCGCTCAAACAAGACGAATCGACGAGATTTGAAAATCGCGTAACTCCGGGTTCGCGTAAGTCGAGGTATAACTGTATTGTAAATTCATGTAACGTTGAATATACACGAAATACTTTTAGTTTGCTAATTAAAAGCATTTGACACTATGAACTTAAAAACGTCAATGTGCGATTTAACCTTTTCTCCTCCAACAGGCCGAGACTATTTGAAAATTTAACTTATACCATCTTGTTGATTAGGTCTTTTCTGAAGAGTACTCGGAAAAGTTAATGTACTTGGCTAATACGAGGTCTGTTCAAAAAATACGCGAACTGACGTCATAAAACAAAATGTACTTTATGTAGAAGTTACATGTCTGGGTCCCTTTCAAACTACTCTCCTTCCCAACGCACACAATTATCCCAAGTGTTTCCACTTGTTGAAAGTCCTGGTACGATTCTTTTGTAAGTTGAAAGTCCTGGTACGATTCTTGTCCTTCAGCATTTGCCTTAATCTCGGGAATCGTTTCAAATCTTCCTTTCAAGGGTCTTTTGAGTTTGGGGAACAAGAAAAAGTCACAAGGAGCAAGGTCAGGTGAGTAGGGGGGTGAGGAAGAACAGTGATCAAGTGTTTTGCCAAAAACTCGCGAGTTCTAAGGGCTGAATGGACTGGAGCATTGTCATGATGGAGAAACCAGTCACCACTCCTCCACATTTCTGGCCTTTTGCGATAAATGGAGTCCCTCAGACGTTTCAGCACTTCAATGTAGTAAGTCTTGTTCACTGTGGAGCCTTGGGGAAGATACTCGTGGTGAACAGCACCCTTGGCATCAAAGAAAACTGTCAGCATCACCTTGACATTGGATCGAACTTGGTAAGCTTCTTTTGGGTCTGGGGACTACTTCAAACAAGCCGTACGCTTCATAACCACCGTAAGCCGTGTTGAGTATAGCAAATGTTTCAGTCGCAGATTTTCAAAGTTTAACACAAAATTTCACAGCAAGTCGTTGCTCCATCAGGTCATTCATTCTGAAATCCGACAAACGAAAAAATTGCACTTCACTAAAAACCGCGTAGCTAATCAATACATAAAGTTATCTGTAATCGGGAAACGGCTTTATCACCAGACGATCTGTACAAACCTATCGACACCAAGCAGATTCCCTGGAACCAACTGGAGCCGCGCATTCAGTCCGCGTATTTTTTGAACAGACCTCGTATATTTTATATTAGTATATTAAGATATTGATAAACTTATATATTTTAGAAAAGTAATAAAATAGTAATTAAATAATTTTTTTGCAAAATGCTGGACAGCCTTTAACTATGCAAAATACATTTGTTTAACATTTCTATAAAATAACAATCGTTAAACAACGAAAAGGTATGTTTTTTTATACATATAAATTTTTTAAACCCAAAATAACGTCTAAATGCAAATGTAATCAAATCGACGAAATATTAATATTTCATTTTTCGTATATTTTAAAACTCTCAAAAAATAGTCCAATAAACTTTCAAAAATTGTCAATTTACAATGATCTGTTAATTAAACAAATTTCAATAAGGAATAGAAAGTGCTGTATTGATTATACGTTATCAAAAACTGAGTGATAAATGGAAATGGCATTCATTTGAGCCAAATGTTTTTGTTTTACATACGAGTAATAAAACAGTAATATGTTTAATTAGGTTTTATTTAGCTTTTTATCTTTTTAACAAATCAACCATACAGTTTTTACTTCTTTTTTTTCTCCAGCTTTTCAATACATACTTTCAGGGCATATATAATTACCCTTCTCTTCTCCCTATTGTAAATTAGACAATGAGATTTACTTAAATACAATGACTCTCACTGAATACCATTTTATTTTAAAATAAAATGTCTTTCAAAAATACTTACCGTTATCCTTGTATACTTACTTTACTGCAGATTTAACTTCTTTAGTTTCCAGTGGGACAGTTAATACTCACCTTTGATTCCCAGTTCTGAAAAGCTAAAATTTTATAATTTCAAATCAGCTGCACCAAGTATGCTTTCAATGAAATCGCACCTTTTAAATAAAAAACTATATACATATATATATACGCTCTATATATCTATTACATATATAGGCTATGCTTTAACTTTTAAACTAATAATCTATTGCAAAATGCATTTAAAGAGCTTAACTAACAATGCTGACTTAGATCCATGCCAATATTTTTCAAATTGCACACCACCGTTACTAATTTATTGCTATTTTAACCCCATTATTTTAAATTGCCTTAAATAAATTTACATTAAACTAAAAATTACTAATTTCCTGGGAGAGAGAAATTTAAAAGTCAAAATTCTAAATAAAATTGAAAATTCCTCATTTTCAGTTAAACTGAAAATGTTCAATTTTCAACTTGGTAACCCTCTAAAATTTTGTTCTCCCATTGGAAATCTTAAAATTTTGACCAATGGTTGGGGAAGAAGTTATTTACGTCGGGCAAAGAAAAATCTTCCCGACACTGATGTTTGCTTACCTAAAAACAAACATCAAATGTTTTCTCTGCTTCTTTAGTTGCATACTTCTTTCTTCACCAATTCACTTAATTTGACTTTTCTTTTTTCTCTAAGTCTTGATTGTCAGCTATTAAATTTTCCCTGTGCTCTTCTATTTGCTTCTGTATTTGAATGCTTCAAACGCCTAACTTGTTTCTTCAATTACTTATATGGTTTCATTTATATTCTAATTTACATTTTCTATCTTCACCAATGTGAGGATAAATACTCTTCAACTCTTCATCCTCTTATTTTTCTGTCTTGTGACCCTTAAAATCCAAACAAAAACACGGTTAATGGATTGTCAACAACTTTATTTGAAAATGATGAACAGACAAGGGTAAGAGAGAAAGTACAAGGTAGTAGGAATCAACTTTATTTGAAAATGATGAACAGACAAGGGTAAGAGAGAAAGTACAAGGTAGTAGGAAACAAAAAAAAATGGTCACAATCCAATAATTATCTAAATTTTTAATGAAAATGTTTCCCTCAATTTTATATGCAATGAATAGTGTACGTTATGAACTGACGACAGATTCGTGTCAGGAATAATAAATTTTGTTACAATACAGTAAAATCTATTTTAGTGTAATACACATATTGAAGACGACGTGAAAAGTATACCTATTAAATTACAAAGTGAATGAATTTTGCTACTTTTTCTCTTTAGTGACATCAAGTGATGATTACAAATAAAATCTTGTCTTTAAGTGTTACACATTGTACCACAAATGAAGCACTGTAGAACATCAATTACTCCTTTTGCCCTCAGTAGTAGCCGTACTTACGGGGTGAATAGGAGCGGGAGCGGGACCTGGAATATCTTCGACTACGACTGTAATAGGGGGAAGGAGACCTTCCTCTGTAACCTCCACCTCCACTTCCTCCTCCAGCACCACCACTGCCACCATATCTAGGGCTAGAAAAGGAAAAATAATAATTTATAATTAGAAATTATTATATATGCCATTTATTTTCAAATAAATAATTATATCTAATCACACAAACAAACAAAAAGTGTCCCAAAAGTTGGTTTATCAAAGAAAATGTTACGAAATATTTCAGAATTGCTCAAACTGTGTGATGTAGCAAAAAGACTGAAAAATGAGCAAACAATGAGTAACTCCAGGATCCTGTAGAATTTATTACAAAAAGATGCCGGCATAAAATTGCTGACACATTCTTTGAAGACAACCAATACTGACAAAACCAAGCATAAAACTTTAAAAAAGTAATTGTGTCTTGTGCAAAAAAATGATGAAATCATCCAATATGAATTATTATTATCCAGTGTGCAATATTATTGTCAATTTGACACTAAAATCAGCAAATAAAGCAACTGTAGCAAAACAAAAATATTAAGAATCATGGCCACAAAGCTGCAGAAAATTCAATACATTGTGATGATAAATCTTATTTTTCACTTAAAAATTTGTCTAAAACTGGATTCTATCCTGAAATAAAAGATGTGTCTTGTGAAACAAAATGTTAAGTGCAGAAAAAAGTTTTTAAAATGACTGTCTGCAGAACAATCTGCAAAAAAGTCAGCCAGAACCTTACTTTGTGTGACCTTTCGGGTCGGCACCTCTTTGGTACCCTGTCAGGATTGACACCACTGTGTTTCTTGAAACACAGAAACCGAGACGGCGATTACGTCACGCCATCGAGCGAGCGGTCCCGTACGTGGTCAGACGGATTCGTAATGTCGATTCGAGAGACACCATTGGAAGTGACGCAGATACACTTAACAATTAACAAGGGTTTATTTAAAAATCTATTGGAAAAAAGGATTGTCGCGGAGAGAGAGAGAGTTCACATACGATTCGCGGGAAGATAAAGACCTTTGGTAATAGATCCCGGTCGGGTCTTGTTGAATCGGAGAATAAGAGCTTCCTATGGGTTTTTCAGGATGTATCCAGTTCTGATGGGTATTTTTTGATCCAGGCGATCGTGCATTAACATACACACACAGAAAAGTTTATCCTATGGCGATTAATTCGGTGACGATTAGATGGATGATAATTGAAGGGAGGATGACTTCTTTCCTCTCCGAGGACCAAGGCAGCGACTAACTCTTTTTGGCCGTCTCTGATGATATTCACGGACGATTTCGGCCGTGCAGAGGTTAATAGTTCACGAGAAAGCGTCATGTTGCTTTCGAGAAAATGTAACGGGAGACTTTCTCAGGTAGCTAAGAACAACAATTGTTGCGTAATTCGCGAAATGTTATTATTAAAGAGTATTTCTAATATAAGAATTTCTGCCATCTTACATTTGTATCTGCAAATTTTACTCAGAATTTCAAAAAACACTTGACTGAATATATTCAATCTAAACTGAAGCAATTTATTGACGAAAATTACAAAGTTTTTGTCAATAAATTTGTCAAAAACTACATGGTTGTCAGCATCTGGCCATATGTACTGTACATCACAGTATAGCCATCATCACAAAACTTGAAAATCTGTGTATTATTTACATTAAGAAAATATACTCATGTACAGTACTATACATCTAATTTTTTTTTCTTTTATCAAACTGAGCAGGAAACATTGCCAATCTCTGTACTCAAAACTTGAATTCAAAAAAATTGAGTTCAACAAATTATTTTACTAAACTTTTCACTAACAATAAAAGTAACATCTCTGCTACTGATACTTAAACCTTTCTCTGTGATTAAATGAATTCGAATTTAGTTTTTATTTCTATTATAATACCAGTTGAAAGGCCTGATGGAGGCATCAGGCACACTAAATTACAAATAAAAATAATAATATACTGAGTATTATACTGTAAAAATATAAAATAATTTATATTGTTAATTTAAATAATAGCTAGGGGCATCTCTATGGCCATTTTTGGCATACAATGACAAAGAAAGAATCCAATTTTTCAGCTTTATATAGTATGATGATATTGAAAGGTATGCTTATTTGTTTCTCACACAGATTAATTTGCGTAAGCCTTTAATATTGCAATAAAAATTATATGCCTAATTGAAAAATAATAATGTAATAAAATGTAACATTATGTATAATTTTATTTTCATTTTGAGACCAATTCATTAGCATCTGCACACACATGTTAAGTAGTTAAAATATATTATGGGGAGGGGGAAAAAATAATGTCAAAAATTTTTTTGAAAAACAATTTTATAAATTATGCAAGTCTGACTTTGAATAACAAAATTATAGTTTAAATAATAATATAAAATCAATTTTTAAGAAATTTAGTACACATTTTAAATTTATTTATTAAATTATAAATAGCTACCTATTTTATGCATTATTGTTTTCTATTAATTACTATAAACCTATTAGAACAGATAAACTACAAACCCATGAATCTTACTGATGCTACTAAAATTTTGATATTAAGGGAGGTTGTGTACAGAGCTACCATTAAAAAATGATCACCTTTAAAGCAATTCAATAATATGATAGTTTTGAAATAATGGAATGAGGAAGAAAATAAAAATATTAAGTTTATATTTAAAAATTTAATATAATTTAAATATAATTATTAAGATAATTTTTTTTATGTAATTTGTAAACAATCACTGAGTTAAAACCAATAACCAATCTGTACATACACAAATTGAAATTATTGTGCAATAATCAGATAAATAACTGAGATCAAATACTAAATTTACACTTTTATCAAAATTATTTTATATTTAAAAAATAAATCACTTTTTTGCACCTAAATCAACTGCAATAAAAATAATTAAATATTTAAATATACAGTAGAGCGTCGTTTATCCGAATCAATTGGGGACTGGGGTTGTTCGGAAAATCGATATTTTGAATAACTGATTATGCACGAAAAAATATATTAACCTATCCCATGTTAAAATTTTTCTCCGTTGCGTGTTGCTTCACGTTGAATTTTTGCTATGTTAAGCCTAACGAAGACTATTGTATCGTTAAAAATTATTTCTTTATTTTGTACAAACAAAATAAATATATTGAAAAATATAAAAACAATAAAAAACTATACTTCAGAAGTTAATTTAGTATCAAAAACGTAAAATATTTGCGCATCCCAAAACATAGCCAAAGATGATTGCAGTGCCACAGCACTGGCAAAAATTTAAATTTGCCGACTGGAATTCTTTCGGATAATTGACGTTTCAGATAAAAGATGCTCTACTGTAATTTAAATAAAAACAGTACTTAAGATTCCAAGTTCTTATTATAACTTTCATAGGCTTAAAATAATTCCCTTATTCAGTTTTTGAAGATTTTCAAAGATTAATTCAATTCCTCCCCTTGTCTTAATGAAAAAAGTGATGTAGGAGATTATATATATATAATCTCCTACATGTGTGTATATATTATATATAGTGTATCTCCTACATAATTTTTTTCATTTTAGCAGTGTGTGTGTGTGTGTGTGTGCATAAATATACACTGTGCTAAAAGTTATTCATAATATAATGTTTAAATGAATTCTAAAGGAATTAAAATTTTATTTGTAATTTTTCATATCAAGTTGTTCCATATAATATACAATTAAAAATATTGTTTTTGATTCATTAAAAGAAAAAAAGCAAACTAACTAGTTATTGAAATTTGAGAATTTTATATACAGAATGTAGAACCATGTATTCTAGTGTATACCTTTATGAAATAAAATTTGAGAAAAGTCTAATTATAACTTATATACAAAAGGTAAATTCAAGATTTTTTGCTTACTAAGTTGGTTTTCCCATGTATATTCCTGGCGTTGGAGTGTGAGCTCGCTGAGTAATGGAATAGTCTACTCTTATTTTGCGCCCATCAATTTCCTGCCCATTGCATCTCTCTTTTGCCTGAAAAGATAAATTTATTACCACCCATAATAAAACTTCAAAAAATAACAAATTTTATCACATTCATTAATATGTCAAATCTTTATATTAAAATTTCATAAATTAGGTAATACTGTTTAACTATGATTTATTATTAATTATATCAATGTTATTCAAACTTTAAGGAAATCATAAGTTAAAAACAGAGTTTATATCTTATCTATTTTAAAAAATATGACATCAGATGTTTATCTTGACTCAACAAATTTGGTTTGCAAATCTGATCACTACTTGAAAAATCAATTTAGAAAACTAAATTAGATGAAATTTTTTCCCCTTAAGTAACTTGTAGTTATTATTGTGACAACCATCATTAATTAATTGCTAGCTCAAATTATTAGAAAATTTAATATCTTTCTATTTAAAATAATGAAAGATCTATTCAATATACTTCTAAGAAGTCAAAAAGAAAGTTTTCTTTTTTATGCTTATACATAGTGTATCAAAAAGAATATCAGAGTTTTAAATTTGTATTTGTCTTACTTGCAGTATAAAATAATAAATCATGTCAGATATAAATACTTTGTACATTTCTCTTTCATAACACATATGACAGTGCTCAATACAGGAACCTTTTGTTACATAGCACACATCCAGCTGGTAGTCCAGTTCTTCCCCAATCCTCCCTATGCAATTTATTTCTGTGGGGCATGTACAACATTGAGTTTGTGTAACACCATTACTTTTGAACATACCATACTTAAGACACAGAATCGTTGAGACTGTTGCATCCACCATACTGGATATGTTGACCAGAGTATGAGAAGAACTGGACTACTGATTGACCACTTGTAATGTGTGATATAAAAGCTTTTACATTCCTCTTTCATATCAGGTATCATTTATTATTTAATACTGCAAGTAAGACAAATACAAATTTAAAACTCTGATATTTTTTTTGATACACCATGTATTTTCAATACTGAATCATCTATATTGTTATATGTTACACTACTATCAGATTTTGATCATCATTTATATTAAACTCTAATAATTATGTATTTGGTTTAAATAAAAAATTCAACTGCATCTGAATTAACAATAGAATTTAGTACATCACAAATAATGAGACTAAAAATGATAATCAATATAGAGATAAATGTATTAAAATTATGCTATTAGAAAGGTAATTGTAGAAAGAATTACAAACAGAGCTAATATATAGAAAAACTTAAGGCTGATGAAACAAATTCTACATATAGATATGATAAAGTGAAAGATAAAACTGATCAGAAATAATGGATAGAAGTATGTAAGGAAATATTTCTTGAAAAATGTGTATAGAAATTCCAAAATATAACATCTGCAGACAAACAGAAATCATGTTATGATAATTAAGTTTAATTCAACTTTAACCTTAAATCATTACATACAGAAATACAACCAATAAATTTTACTTTTTAAATATTTAAAAAGTAAAAGCATTAAATAAAAATTATCCAACAATGAAATTCAGAGAAAAAAAAATTACCATTTTTGAATCCTCTACATTTTCAAAATAAACAAATGCAAATCCACGTGATCTTCCAGTCTAAAAATAAAAAAATTTTATTTAGAGTCAAACTCAAATTTAAAATATGAAATATAACAACTGTTAATTATATTTTAGTTTAAAATATTTATCAAAATACTCAGCTTTAATCACAAATTTTTCAACTAAAATCTTAAATTTCAGTATGTCTAATTCAAGATTTTCATCTATCCAAAACATTATGTTATCTAGGTTATGAAATGATATATATAGTGGGTGATCGGTTAACAAACAGTTTGAACTATGAACAAATTGTATAACAAACACTTTTGCGAAAGATTTTTATGTTTGGACAACGAACACCTCGCAGAACAAAACACAAGCAGCAGCAACGTAACATAATAAATACTGATTGGTCTTCTTTTGTCTTCAGGCAACAATTCAGAACTTTTCAAAGTACAGGAGACATCAACATCGATACTCAACCTGTTATATACTGATCAGATAGTATTCCTCCAAACTTTGAAACTCCCCCTTGTAATTCCAGCCTTTTATTTTTCTGACAAAGAATTTTTTTATAGTAGTAACAAAGTTCCAAGGATTAATTTTGTTGATTAAATCAATATTATGACCATACAAATAATTTTGGGTCTTGTTGGACAATTAAAAAGGATAATTCTGCATAGACTCAATTATTTGTATGGTCATAATATTGATTTAATCAAATTTTTTATAGTATTTGCAAGACTGTTGGGCAGGCACTCGTTAAGTTTTGCCTCGGTTTTTATTTTTGAAAGGTGAGAGTATAATAGCAAAGGTAGAGTGGGCAGAAGATGTCTGATGTTGCAACGCAGTATATGGCTTGAACAGATTTACAGTAGGACACAGTTCAATCTTATCTAATATCCCATTCATACCAAGCATTTCGATCTAGATTGTGACCAAGGTCAGTGACTATGCCGTGGTGCAACCTCTCTCAATGCGAGTGAATTTCGTTTCAGTTGAGATTGAAATGATATTCAATCGCAATTGACTCAAGAGAGTTCTTGAAACTAGATCCAGTCATAAGAGAGATCCCACACACACAAGAAAATACAAGATGGCTGCGGAACACGTGTCGGGCTATCAATAAAGAAAGAAAAAAAAGACATCTGGAAAAATCGATGACACCTGTCTTATTAGATATATGGCAAAAATAGTATTTCAACCAAAACTTCCATTTTGTTTGTTGGTGTTCATGACTTATCGCGTAATTATGTTAGTTTTATCATCGCATGTAATAGCTGGGTTCTTCTCAAGTAGACTGCCTGTGTGAACAGCTCAACGTTCATCTGGCAACCGTTACAATCCAGATTTTAGGCAAATCAAGATTGAAGTGAGTTGTGGAGTGTGTGTGAACATAGTATAAAAAAGATACAGTATAATCAAGAAGACTCAAGCAGCTAAAGGAGTAACAAAACTCACATCTGAGAAATAAAAAACATTGAAGAAATCATAACGGAACCTGAAAACCGCCAAGAACTCTAATGAAGAACACCAAGAAACTTGGTGAGTTATGTTTTCTTCTGAAAAAAAGGATTAATGCCAATATCTGCTATTAAAGATCTTTTGAAGTGGGAGAATGTCAGAACAACAGTCTTAGAATGGCATCCAAACCAGGTTGAGGTTAATAGGCTTGAGATCTCTACAATTACATAATGCTATTAATTACTTCTGAAAAATCCCAAAGAAGAGAGAAAAACAATCAACATTATATACATTCTTTAACCTCCATAAATGAAAAAAACACAACTAATAAAAATGCAAGACTGTATGCAGGTGTTATCATTATTACATATAAATAAATGTAGTAAGAAAGTATATATTTTTTATTTTTTGGAGTTTCCAGAATGAATTAATCAAAATTTCGATAAAAATTTATGGTATACAGTCGACTCCCCTATAATTACGATTCCTATAAAACTACAAAAAAATATACATATTTTGGAAATGTTGAGTCGGATTAGTGTAGAATCGATTAATTTTATGGAAGAAAACCTTTCAATCAGCCATAGTCCGTAAACTTGACACGTGTCAGGCTGTGATTGGAACGACTTGTAAGAAATGGGATTCCTAATAAATTGGAACGTATCTATATCTTATAGGGGGGTCGACTGTATTGATAATCGATTAACAAATAATTCAGATAAAGAACAAAGTCTTGGAATGGATTATGTTCATTAACCAATCACCTACTGAATATATATAAACAATACTGTATAATATCTTATGATATATCTCAAATAACAATAGCATTCAATGTCAAAATTTATATAAGTTTTACTATATGAATTTTACTGGAAACTTTATCAAATTTATTTTTCAATATTTAAAATATGATATAATTTGCACAATCATACAACAACACAGTACTTTTGGATATATCAAAAATTATATAATCTGATATTTAATAAATTTACTTGAAAAAATAAATAAATGCAAAGGGCAGTTCAATTTCTGTCCAGAATTTCAGTAAATGGCAATGGAACTTTGTATTACATAGACCAAATTTATGTTTCTTATTCCCCTCCACAAGCTAATATTTTCCCCATTGTCTTGGTAACAATCTTTCACCTGCAGCTTTTTGATTGGTGTCAGAGTATGGCCCTGTGCAAACTGCAGGTGATCAACAACTTGGTTGATAAATTCTGGATCACCTAATCTACAATCAGTCACTGTGCAATTATCACGTTTTGGCTCTTTGAAGGAAGCTTTGGGAGACAGGAGAGTCACCCAAAATACTGAAGTCTAGCATTTAAAAAATGTTACACATTCCAATCTATATAAATAAAAATGCAAATGTTCGTCTGTTCAAAATCTTAATCTCTAAAAGTTCTTCACCGCTTGATTTGAAATTTTGACACGTTTCATTCAAATACGCACGTGTTTTTATATCGAAATTCCTCTGAGGGGGAGAGGGAGAAAATTAAGGCTTAACCTGAAGAACAGCCTCTACTGTACTATTTTAGATACAATTTTTTTGTTTCTGGTGGTAATAACTTAATTTACAAACATACAATATTTACGTTTTATGATTTTTTAACCAAATATTTCAACAGTTTTAAATTCAAATTTGTTATTGCATATTGATTTGATTATAGAATGATTGTAAATGTTCAAGAAAATTGATCAAATTGAAAACATTCCTTTAAAGCAGTAAAATGATTCTCAGCAATAAGGGATATGTTATATAATGTTGTTATAAATTAAATAATTACCATGGTTGTTGGAATACTGAATATAAATGATGTTATGATGCCCCACACCATCGTTCCAATTATACACGATGGAGCTTGCCTCTCTAGAGCAGGGCTTCTTAAACTATGGGTTGCATAGTTTAAGAAGCCCTAATTGTTGCGACCCCAATGGGGTCGGTTAGCAAAATCTTGGGGTTGCAAGATTTTAATGCAAAATATTGAAAATAATTTGTGAGAGTTTGAAAATGGCATGCTTTGTGTCATAGTTTCGTGAGTTGTGCTTTGCGTCACTTCTGGTGCAGAGACGATTCAGCAACACTGTAGTATTAACTGTCGTAGTAGTAGTGTAGTGTTGTGGCGTTGCTTTTCAGTGTATTCAGTTGTCTCTGTTCCATTGTTACACAAGAGTGAACTGTGGTAGTACACCATTATTGCTTTTCCAAATTTGTATATATCTTTATTTTAGATTTTTTGGGTCGCAAAAAAAATCACAATCATAAATGGGGTCATGAATAAAAAAAAGTTTAAGAAACCCTGCTCTAGAGCAATATTCTTTGTTTTATATGACACTCAAGTGATGGCCAAAGAAGTACGTGCAGAAATGGTGGCTTACATGATGAGTCACTGGGATAATTTTTCAGAGGAGGTTTATTTCTATCAAATTGTAAAATCCGTGCGGGCAAAGCCACAGGTAACAGCTACTTTATTATATAAAAATGCTGAATGATTATTAAATTTGCCGTGCCATATTTTCTCTCTTAACTAATATGATGAAATTAGATAATAATTATGGGCAAATTTTAAGACATCATACTAACTACTAGGATTTGTTTTAAAATTTCATACAATACAGTTTTAAAACTAACATGAATATTATGATTACATAAACAACATAAATAATTTGTGTTTAATATATTGATAAAAGCTGATCACTGCTGCAAGAGAAAGTACCTAAGATTTAATATATTAAACTGTACACATACAGACAAAAAAAATCTAATCTAAAAATTATGTAAATTCAAATATTTTTACCTGTGCATCATATACCACTTGAACATCTTCCAGAGGACCATATTTTGAAAATACTTCTTTTAAATCACGCTCCTGGGTGTATAAACTCAAACCGAACACTCCAAGACATCTACTTGGCTGTGGATTATCCTAATAATTTATTAAATAGTATATTAATTAATCCGGAATATAATAAATGATAAGCATTAAAATTTTTCAGTCATCCACACACATTATCAAACAAATTTAAACAAATAATATACACTGCAAAATTAATTTACATAAAAAAAAATTGAGCAATACTATGATATTTGAGTTTTAAATTTTCATATTTATTATATTATTACATTGCTGAAAACTTGGAAAGAATATCAATGACCATGATCATGTTTAAAAATATTAATTTATCTAAATATCACAAATGCATTCTTGTTCTATACACAGTTTTAATATTCATATTTTAAGCTATACTTAATTACAAATTGATGTTGATAGTTACCATTCATATATCTATCATAAGATTGATTATGTTAACCATTCACACTAGTACAAAATTTTGGCAGCTAAAATAAATTATTTCATCACACTTTAAATCCTTTCATAAATAAAATTCCATGAAAGCACTAACCAAATTTTAATAAATTTGAAAAAATTATGCTCTAATTATTTGTGAAAATGGGTGCTTGATAAAATTTCAAATTGTCATAAACATACCATGAAGCTGAAAAATCAAGACATTTATATATGATATGACACAAATTGTCAATCATATATCAGAGAATTTTATTTTGTATAAAATTAATTATATACTTAATAAGTAATACTTTTAATGTTAATAATTAAAATTTTAAAATACATACTCGATTTCCAACATGTCGACGACGAGTGGACATAGGTGATCTGCTATGACTTCTGTAATAATCTCGATGACGATCACTAAAAACAATTATGAAATTTCATTTAATAACATATTTAAGTTTCAATTACTATTTTTTCTTTAATTTTATAAATATAAATCTGCTGAAATTTACTCAGAATACGATATAACAAAGCACTTAAGACTGATATTGTAAATCTCTCATTTTAAAAGGTTACTGAATCAGAAAGTTAATACTGATTATAACAACAAAAATAATAAATTTGCCTCAAGCTAACTTATTACATAGCCTTGAATTTTTTAATGTCTTCTCTAATTTCACTCAAAGTAGTTTTTCAATTAGAAATTCTTTATCTAGTTATATTTTTAAATCTTTCATTGATGTAATTTATAGCAGCTTTTAATTTAATATATGGATATTTTGAAATCTCTGGTTTTTAAAAGCAAGCTCTGAATAAATTTAACTGCAGTTTCAAAATTTTGAGAAATATTTCAAAAATCCATAACAAATTTCAAAGTGTAAAAATGAATACTTCATTACATTTCAATCTTATTTCTCATATATCTGTCATCATTACATCCAAGTTACTTCTTCTATTAAAAACTTTTAGCTAAATAACTAATATGCAATTAGCTTTTATGATTTATCTTAAAACTTTGAAATTTAGCAGCATATTTTCATTTAAACACAAAAAGCATTATTAATTTATCATGATTTGTTTTACATGAGTTATTTCTTTCATTAAATTCACATTATTATTAAGCAAATTTTTTAAACCAACAATTTTTCTTCAAATTACAATAATGAAGTTGAGTGATAGCTGAAGCCTTAAGACAATTTCTCTAGGCAAAGAAACTCAACTTCCTCAGACCCGAATTCAATCCTTTAAATTTAAATCAATTGATATAGATCATGCAATACAATCCTGTACACTTATTATTTCTGAATAATTTAACTTTAAAAATAATGGCTATTCCTAAAATAAGTTTCCTAACAGCAGTAGTAAAGGATCTTGTCTGTTTCACTTATTTAATTTAGACCAAACAAATGAAAATTAAGAATACAGATGATTTATTTGGAACAAACATTCAAGTAAGAGCTCAAGTTTGAGTTGGATGAAGTAAATAACTTGCTAAGAAAACAATTTACTGTTTTTAACTTACCGTTAAAGGAAACCATGGGTTCTTTGGCTATTACAATGGATTATCTTACTTCTCACTTAGGCATTGATGGCATTTCATGGATGACTTCATTTTTATAAAATGAAATCTAATAATCACAACATTTATTGTAATTATGAACTTTTTAAAAACACAGATTCCATAATTTTACATTAACCCATTTATCCTTCTGTGTTTTTGATCACAAATTACAGAGGAACTAATTACCTGATCTTTGCTTTGAAGAAAGCATCTTATTTCTCATTTTTAAAAATTTAAACATGAAGAGTCATTATCTTAGCTTAACTGGAATCTGATGTCTTCTAACTGAAGCAAATTTCATCAAAAAGAGTAGATAATTTTCTTTGAAATAAATGAGAAAGATTTTTTCTTCAATTTCTACTTTCTTAGTTTACTTATGAAGATCAAATATATTTTTTAAACAATCTTGCCATAAAAATTCAAGACAGGAAAAATTAAGATTTTGAAACATCCAATAATATCCAACAAACAAATGTTCCATAATTCAGCAATGAATATATATTCAAAGATGATAATGATTTTATAGCTGCTTCATTTTTAAATGATTGCTGCTTTAATCACATATAAAATTATGATTTTCATTCAAACATTTAAAACTTTGCTACTCACATAATATTCAAACAAAATTTTGAAATTTTTTTTCCTTCCAAAATCCACTAAATTCCACAATATATTGTAATTGTTGCCAATGCTAGCAGTTTCAGTTTTTTTTTTTTTTTATAATTAAATAAAGTGATTGAAATAATATTTGTAAGTACAGTATATACATTTTTATCAAGTGTTTAAAAAATGTTTCTTATAATTACTTATATTGATAAAAATTTCTTGTTTTCCTTGTTTACTTACAAAAGAGAAATGATGTTATCTTGATATTACAATAAAATGGTTAAACAGATCTGAAATCTCAATGAAATGAAAATGTTTTAATTAAAATTTTGTATCGTCAAATTTCTAAATTTTTTCAAATGAATTTTTCAAAAGATGGAGAAAAACAGCAAACCAACCCAACCAAATTAGCTAGGCTTACTGATCAGCAAATAAATTTATCACATCTTTTAGTTATGATTCAGAAAATTCATAATTTATGTTTTGTTTCATAACTCTGAATTTATATATATTTTTTTGGTTATCATCATTATCAATCACAAAAGTTGAATTGATTACGAATAAATCTAATACATTGAAACTTACATATATTTTACATTAATTTAAATAATAATTGCATTTTTTTTAAATTGAATTCATTCCTATTTTTGGTCAATTAACAAGTTAATTGATTCATGTTGTTCATACTATATACTTATTTCATTCATTTTCTATGGTTTGTAAACTGAATAAGTTTTTCATCACTAAAACCAGCTTGTAGAAAAAACTATACTACTGATATCCATTTTTAATGTGTATGAAAGAACTTTTGTATTCAAAAACAAAATTTTAATCCATTCAAAAAAAATTTATAATTTTTTCCAAACATTCTTAAATAACAATAACTAATCAAAACAAAACACAATACCATCATCAAATTTTATTACGAATAAGACAAATTTAAACCCTGTATTTGATAATGTCTGAAATTTTACTTTAGAAATAAACTTATTACTGTGTTCTTTAACAACCAAATTACAATGCAACTAACTTTCAAATCTTAACCATCCAAATATAATCTAAACCTATTCCTTTGTATCTCATTTTGTTATATACTTATATGAATAATCACTGATTTTCCTTCATTTTATTTTATCTAAAAATAATGCCATTACAACTAAATAATATAAATAATTATAATTTTATTAAAATTTAATTTCAGTATCATCATTAAAAGATAATCAAATTTTGCAATCAATAATTCCTTTTATAAAGTATTACATAAACCAACTACTCAAATTTATATCAGTAATAAGAAACCAGAAAAAAAAATTTTTAATTAGTATAAAAATTCAGTTTAAAATAAGATAAATTCTATAAGCTTATGGTATTTTCTAATACTAAAATCCTATTAAATAAATCTTTCCTTCAAATTTTAATATCAATAACAAATTCAATTTAAAAATTCTGAAGCAAGTTATAGAATCCTAAGCTAGAAATTTTTCAGATGCATTCTGCAGAGAAAGAAAATTTTGTGGTTATCTGTGGTTTGGAAGAATACGGGCCAGTATCAAATGAATTGGTCTTCATTTGATACTGGCCCTTATTCTAACTAAATTTCTACAAATTTTTGAAAGCTATGGCAACTATATCCATAGTTTTTTATTTGCATATATATAATCCAAGTAAACAAAAATTTAACATCTCTAATATTTACAGTAAAGAATATAATAATTTGTTTCAATAACTACATCTCTCTTATTTGACCTATAACTTACCTAAAAATATTTTGTTAAAATAAATTTATGCCTTTGTTTTTATATATGAATAATTTATTTTTGATACAATTTTTTTGGGGCACTCATTACTATAATTTTATAAAAGTTTTCAAAAAGTATGGTTATTCAAAATCAACACTTAAAATATAAATTGAACTACTAATCAAAACTTATCAACAAGCAAATATTTAAGCATGTAATATTTTATATATATAATTTTTAAAAAAAATCATCTGTGTTCATTAAATGTTACTTAACAATTACATTTAAAATGTTTGCAGTTTTTAATGTATATAAAATTTTTATAGTAATTCAACTGTTTATTGTCTTTAGAAGTTGTTTATAAAATCTTTAGATTTAAATGTTTAAAGAACTCACGTTTATACAGCATTAATACCATATTAATTTTTGAAACCAAGTTTTTTTTTCTAATCTAAAATCTCAGTACAACTGAAGCAGCATCAAATTAAAGCATGAAAATTATTTATGGACTAAATTCTTCACTCAAAATAAAAAGCTTAATTTTAAAAACCTATATAAATNTACGTAGTCCTTCACTCAAAATAAAAAGCTTAATTTTAAAAACCTATATAAATGTATATATATATAATTTTAAAATTAAAAAATATATATATACATATTTTTAATTTTAATTTGACATTATAGATTATGAAGTTTTATTTTGTGTTATTCCCTCGTGGCCAAATGAAACCAGAAAGACTCCAGCATAAAGAAATCAGTACTAAGCTTCTTTACTTTTATGATAGAATAGCTCTCTAATCTGTGATATTGACTCAAACATTATTCAAATAGAAAAAATAATTACAATATGCAAATTCCTTTGAATTTCTACAAAATGATCTAGCAGCTCATATTCTGGCCCATAGCATTTTTTCAAATACTAGCACGAAGTTTCACTTCTGCCACTTCACGGTATGAAACAGAAGTATGGTTTCTTCTTTTGTGCAAATAAAAATTTGATTAAAACGGAAGTATTTTCCAAAATTCCTCAGTCTCTAATATTTTCATTGCTGGTATTCGCTTTTACTTCAACAATGCATTCAACTTCATTTTTCATTGAGTTTTTTTCCTCCCACACTTTTTCACTGCTATTACTTGATTTAGCAGTAAATCAGTATTTTCTTTTCTTTCAAACTTCCATTTTCAAACCAATTATCTATAATTAAAGGCTAATATTTGCAAATTATAAATTTTTTAAAAAAATAATGCAAATCAACTGCAGCACATCACTTATATTGAAGGCTGAATTAAACCGATTAACTATTGTGTTGAATGAAGCTATATGAAAGAAAGCTACCACTTTGAAATTTATGCTATTCCTTAATATTTAAATTTTATGTTATATAGCATAATTTCTGGAAGTTACACTGTTAAAATTGAATAAAATTAAGTAAATAATTTATTAAATAATTCTGTACAACTTATGCACACATTTACTTTCTACTTTTATTTCTTTAAAACAGTGATCTTTAATAAACTTTTACACTTCTTAAATACTAGCTATTAAAAACATTATTTGTATTAGATAAATAAATGAATTGATAAAGTACAAAATTTCTTGCTTTATTATATTAATACCTCAGTATTCAAAATATACAATCAAACCTCAATTTAATATCATCATTTGTTGCCTCTGAATTGGTACTATATCTACAGTATTTTTGCAGAATGACTGGCATGCAGCATATAAATGGGAGAGATCAGCATGCTGGTTAAACTGAGACTAAAATATATAATAAAATTAATCAGACCTAACAAAACTAGTTGTTAATTAAACATTAAAGAAAACATTCTTCCAAGTACATTAAAATAACATTGTAATTTGACTGACTTAAAATCAAAAAGAGAGTTTTTGTTTACAAGACAATTAACCACTTATTGACAGTAAGTAGTAGTAGTAGTAGTAATAGTAAGTGTGGTCTACACTTACCACTACATTGACCTTAAAAATAACACCTTCCTCTCAAATTTCATACAAAGCCAGTTAATCAGTGTAAAGTTGAAATAATTTACAGAGAGAATATTAAATTTAATATGTTTATTTTTCCATTTTTGAATCAAATAATAATAATACACAAACAGAAAAAAGCACTTTCAGAATTCCAAGAGTACAGTCGACCCCCCTATAAGATATAGATACGTTCCAATTTATTAGGAATTTGATTTCTTACAAGTCGTTCCAATCACAGCCCGACACGTGTCAAGTTTACGGACTACGGCTGATTGAAAGGTTTTCTTCCATAAAATTAATCAATTCTACACTAATCCGACTCAACATTTCCAAAATACGTATATTTTTTCGTAGTTTTATAGGAATCGTAATTATAGGGACCGTAATTATAGGGGGGGGGTCGACTGTACTTTACATAGTTAGAAAGAAAACAAAATGAAGAAATTAAACGTATAATTTTAGTTTTTGCTGTAATGCCGACAGTTTCAGTTTTAGAATAAAAACTCTTTCCTTTTTATGTAATGTATCTCATTCATTTTTTTAATGCGCCCTCTAAAGAGGAATGTATAACCTCACTTAAACTGGCATGTTGGTTTTTACCATATGGAAATATCTGATTTCTTGGTCTCCCCAAATAGACTAGCATGCTGGTCATTCTAAAATACAGTAGTCTGACATTAACTTGAGAAATTCGAATAAGAATTACTGCAATAATAATTCTTATTGTTTCAAATTTAAGATAGTTATAATAAATTTCTGCACACAAAGTTTGAATTTGATAACACAACTTTATGACAACAATCAAGAGTTATGATGGCAAATAGTGTGGAAACAATCTGTTTTAATGTTCACTATTTAAATAAACTTTTGCACTATTGAAATAATACAATATTGCCAACAAACTAAAACTAATGAACTCCATATCATAATTAGCCAAAAATTATTTCATGATAAATATATTTTCCTTTACTTATTCACTGAATTAAAATTTTGTATATAGGTGCTTCCCTACTTACAAACATTCAACTTATAGAAAATTTGACATGTCTAAAATTTAAATTTCACATGGTTTCCAAAATTCTTTTGCCTTTCACGAAGTGGCACAGATATTGATAGTGTCATAGTAACAGCATTTTTCATTACTGTTCACAATTTTTATGACTAGTGCTTCAAAAATGCATCCAAAACACAACAGTAAATCTAGCAATGGGGATAAATGAAAGAAGTGTCACTATTACCATGGAAGCTAAACTGGACATTATAAACTAAGCAGTTTAGGTGAAAAGAAAGTGTGTTTGAAACACTCACTACTAAGTAGTACTTTTAGTGTTTACTTGCTCACACTGTAGTAGTAAGCAGATAAACAAGCATATCATCATCTATTAAGTACATTGAAGGATCAAATACTAACAGTAAGTGGTTATTCTGTGTGTAAATGTACTTTCTAGCTTAGTTTTCAACTTGTGACAAAACCTTGGAAACCTAACCTGTTTGTAAATAGAGGAGCACCTGTATTTCAAATTAATCAATTTATTTTGTAGATTTGAAAGTATATTTATTAAAATATATTAAATTATTATAAATAAAATTAACAGTAACTAATATTTAATAGCAATCTAATAATTAAATACTATTTAACCAAAGCAGAAAGACATCTTTATCAAGCATGAAATGTTCTAGCTATATAAACTTGTAAGAAATGGAAGGATTTTTAGATGAAATTCACTATTGCCATAACAGGAAAAATAAAAATATTTTAAATGTTAGAAACTATAATAAATGTAGTATTAAACTGAGTTTGTTTGTACTGAAAAATCATGCATTCGGTATTTTTTGATTTACTTCAAAAAAATTAATGCAATGCTTTAGCTATGAGAATTTTTAACGACACAAAGCTACTCAAAAAAAGCACTACCTAATGTAAAAAATAATTTCATTGTCAAACTTCAAAAATTTGTTTGTTCAATGTTATTAAATTTAGATATATAATGTCAAATGTATTCATCAATAACAGATATCTACCAGAAATTATGCTGATTATTAAATGATTTTAAATTATGATTTCATTCCTTCTAAACAGAGAAAATAATTACCATTGAATAAGCAATATTTTAAAAGAGACTGATTGCAATATAAAAATGAAAAATTTTAATTGCAAAATGTAAATAATGAAACAAAATAATTGCATAACATAGAAACAATTACACAGAAGTTGTTTGAATTGATTTATGTTTAAATTTAGATTAAGTTTTAAAATGATTAACTGATGGTACATTTGATTTTTCCCCCCTTCACATCTTTTACATAATTAAAAAATAAAGGGAATATTGTAAAAATTGTAAATATATGAAATCATATCAATAATAATAAACATGAAATAATAGCATTATATTAAAAATTTAATTTTTGACATTTTAACATCTTGTTCATGGTTGTATATCATAACTGAATGCTACAATAAAAGTTCACTTTTATAAATTACATAGCAGTAAAGAACTAATTTGTACTTTTCATGCTTTGAAGTAAAATTTCAAAACCATGAAAATGAGAATTCCAACATCATTTTATTTTCTTTAGGACAGAAAAAACAAACTTTTAACATATACAGATTTCATTTTTATTATGCAATCAAAACTATATTGTAACTATTTTGAAGTTTTACTACAGCATAAAAATAAATTTAAAAAGTGCTGCTTTCTTTATAATATATGAATTATCTCAGGAATCTAAGCCAAAATTTAAAATTATTTCAGATCATGAAATGATCTAATCTGACAACATTAGAATAATTTTTTATGACCCATGCCACAATTTTTCAAGCATTATTTTAAAATCATTTTAATAATAAATAAATTTACTTACTATCTACGATGTCTAGGAGATCGTGAACGAGAACGGCTGCAGTAATGATGTCTGTGGCGGCGAGATCGAGAACGGCTCCTAAATTTAAAGTCATTTTTATAATTATATAAGTAAAAAAACATTAAATGTTGGTAAATGTTTTAAATATTCATTCTTTACTCACTATAAGAAATAATTTAGATTCTTAATATAAAATACTTTAGATAAAAGAGACAGCACATATTTGGCAAGTTATATTAAAATTTTTTTTGGAATAAATCAACCTACATAACCATGCATAAAACCTCCTTAATTAATAGATTTATTACATCATTACTTTTTATATCTGCACAATAATAAGTTTGTTACAATGAATAAAAAAGTATAAAAATTAATAATATCAACAATTACAATGTAATTCTGATTATAAACATGCCTCATTCTTGAAAATCTCTTATAAATAGGAATTAGGGTGGTTGTTATGGAATTGCAGCTTGTTTCTACAAATTTCAACCTTATTAAATCAAATACATTCTTTATAGAAATACCTATTACTTAATTTACTACTACTGGAATTAATAATATTGTCTCAGTATTAAATCCACTGAAGATTGGAGTTGAACAACTAGAACATAGAGATGCTAATCTCCTGTCTACAGAAAGAATAATCACTTTTATTCTAGAATATAATTCTTTCTTCTTAAAGAATCCATCATGAAAAGAAATGGACAAAGAGAGAAATGTACACCTGATCAACTTGATAAAATACTTGACTAATCCTAATTCAATTTCAGAAAAGGCTGATCCATTTCTAACTTGACCTGTAATAAAATTTCAATATATACATACTAAAAAAAAAAAAAAAAGACTTGTTTGAAATAACTAGTCATAGAACAGAAAACTTGAACCAACTCTTCCTTTCCCTCAGTTTCATTCCAGCAACTTCAATTGAGGAGGGAGAGCTTTTTCTGCAATGAGACATTTGTCACAAAATTACAAGCCTGATTCTGTGACAACAACAAGATGTTTCTTTAGGCCAGGGGATGGCAACCTGTAGCACGCGGGACGATTTTCAATGGTACTCTGACTGAATAGAAATGTAGTAAAAATTATATTAATATTTTAATTATTAATTGCAAATTTAAATAGAAGTCATAGTTCAGCAAAAGACCGTGGTACATTAAAACGAATCTTTTGTTTGTATATTTCTATTACAGTGCATGTGATGCAAGCTTACATGAAAGAACATAATTCAATCAATAACTTAACTTCAAAATTACACATGTTTGAAGTCTTGTTATAACCAGAAAAATTTTGATAACATATGTAATAAACTTGGTAGAATCATGTCAGCACTCGGAATAACACTATAACTTATGTTCGGCACAATAATGTTAAAAGTTTGCTGACCCCTCCTTTAGCCAATACTATAAATTTAATTAATTTTCTTTTTGGGAATTTTGTGAAAGGTTTTTATTTTATTTATTTATTTTTGCAAGATTTTTTTTTCTTTTCTTTTTTCAATGAAAATTAATAAATAAATAAAACTCAAGTCTTGTTTCTAACTTACTGACTAGTTTTTTCAAAATAATAAAGTTTCATTTAAAAAAGGGATCTGATCACAGGAATTCTCAGAATTTATTATTCTATCTCCCAGGAATGACAACTGCCAGGAAATTGAACAATCCTAATAGGAAAAGGTTATTCCATTATTTCTTAGTCAAAATTTGTACTTCATTCCAGTATAACCCATTCACACACTACCTATGTTATTCAAAAACTTAGTTTATAAAAATTTAAAGTAAAACTTCACAAAAAGTCCATTACATGCTTTCTTTTAATTCTTCCTTTAAAGAGACATATTTGGTAGATATTTCCAAAACACAGAATTTTGGGACTACTTACTGAATGTGCACCATTCAAGACGCCATTGCTTAAGCCTATTTCCGTTGTGCAGCAGACTGCTGAACAGCAGACATGTACAAAACATGTCACATGACCTCACTTCATCACACAGCTGGAGTGAGTGACATCTGACTTATTTCCTAACAACTTATTCTTCTATCAGAAGATTTCATTCTTTTGGGACAAATTTTGCAGTATCATCTTTTTTAACATGTAATTCTTGAATCTCATTTTTTCTTTTTGGATTCTTTAAAATCCAAGGATCACAGTTTGAGTTAAGATTTAACAATAATAATTTATTGAATTACTTTAAAATTCAGATTAAATGCTTATAATGCTAAATAAATACTAAACTGCCGAACAATCGCCTAAATATCGGGCTATTATATGGCTAATTAAATTATTAGAATAAAGTAATTTGTCATTAGAGGTAGGCATTAGGCACCATCTCTTAAGTAAATTAATAATTAAAATTAAATAAATAAATTATTAAATTAATTTTAATTATTAATTTACTTAAGAGATGGCGCCTAACGCCTACCTCTAATGACAAATTACTTTATTCTAATCATTTAATTAGCCACATAATAGCCGATATTTAGGCGATCGTTCGGCAGTTTAGTAGTTATACTATTCGGGCTTTGAATGTTGTTAGCTAAATAAATAATTATAAATTTGTTATTTACAAATGTATGTTTTATGTAACTAATGTTTTAATTCAAAATTTAACCAAAATTGAGTTATAGTTATTGTGATAATCTATAAGTGTATCATAATAAAATTATCATCATTAGCAAGACACTTATTCTTTGTTGTCTATACTAATATTATAAAGAGGTAAAGTTTGTAAGTTTGGATGTAGGAGGTAATCTCTGAAACTACTCATCCAATTTCAAAAATTTTTTCACCAATATTTAGAATGGACCTTCAGGGTGGATATAGGCTGTATATTATTCCATTAAACATTCAGATAAATTAATTAAGAGATATCATCTAGGTAAACGTTATATTTTTGGTGTCAGCGGGTGGCAAGGGGCAAGACGCATACATATACGAGAAAGGTAACCACACGGCGCAGTCACATGGTCGGCGAGATACATAGTGCAGTGTCCGAACTTGTATATTACAGTAGAGCATCGATTATCCGAATCAATTGGGGACTGTGGTTGTTCAGAAGATCAATGTTTCAGATAACCGATTATGTACGAAAAAATATATTAATTTATCCCATCTTGACATTTTTCTCTGTTGCGTGTCGCTTCGAATTTTCGTCGATGTTAAGCCTAATGAAGACTATTGTGTCGTTAAAAATAATTTTTTTATTTTGTACAAACAAAATAAATATATTGAAAAATATAAAAACAATAAAAAATTATACTTCAGAAGTTAATTTAGTATCAAAAATGTAAAATATTTGAGTAGCCCAAGACATAGCCAAAGATTGGCAAAAATTTAAATTTGCCGACTGGAATTCTTTCGGATGATTGACTTTCGGATAATCGACGCTCTACTGTATATAGATGTCGAAATTCTCCCCACAGAGAGAGGGACAAAATTAAGGCTTACCGTGAAGAACTCTACTTCTATTATACTATTTTAGATGCAGTTTTTTTGCATTTTAATAGGGTACATCAGGAGAATGTACACTAAGAAAGGATTTTTCAAAATTCCCTCCCACGGGGAGTGTTATACATTTATAATAGATACATTTTGAGCCACAGCAACGCATGCCCAGGTACAGCTAGTTTCATATAATCACAAAAAATAAACGGAGTAATAACTGCATTTTATAATTATTTATATAACAGTTATTATCATTTCACAAAAGTACTGTTCCATGAACACAAAAATTGAAAAGCGTTGCCCTAACATATGTTACATCTTTGGTTTAAATCAGTGTTTCTCAACGAGGGTGATATCGGTTTTCCATGTTGAGGGAGCGATTTGTAACAATTTATATTTTGGGGGCAAAAAACAATATTCTGGGTGATATAGTAAAGCATTATATTAAGATTAATTAGATATTTTATTCATTATATCGTACAAAAATTAAATAAATAACATTATACTAGTCACTAGTCTATTCAATGCAGTACGAATTTGGTGTTAGCCTTGGCCCTCGGCATCAGAATTTTGAAGTGAAGGGGGTGATACTACGTAACGGTTTTATTGACGATTCATTAGAGGTTGAGAAACACTGGTTTAAATAAAACATTTTATTTCCAAACAGAAAAAAGTCTTTATATGATAGGGTATGTTATATAAATTTAGTTTAAGTTAAATTTTAAAATAAAATAATTAGTTACATAAAACATATATATTTATCAATTTAGATAACAAATTTAGAATTATAAGCATTTAATCTAAATTTTAAAGTATTTCAATAATTTATTATTTTATTTGTTCTGTTTTTTGCAGAGTTAATCTTAAAAAATAAATTGTCATCATCAAATCTTAACTCAAACTGTGATCCATGGACTCTTCAAAGTCTAAAAAGAGATGAATCAGATGTTAAAATATGATGTCACATCTAAAGTTAAGACCAAAAGAATGAAGTCTTCCATAAAAAGAATAAGTTGTAAAGAAATATGTCAGAGATGTCACATGGCTGAAGCGAATGACTTTTGTGGGTGGTAGTTATGTTACCAAGTATTGTCACATCACACATGCATCAACCATTCAGCATGCTACTCTATGACAAAAACAGACTTAAGCAATGGCATCTTAAATGGTGCAACCTGATAAATAGTTCTATGATTTTTTGTTTATAGCAGAACCAACCATATCATACTAACATATATAACAAACTCTAAACATGCTTTTGTTAAGTCATTAACACTAGTCAATCAATTCTCCAATTTATTGAAGTGACAGAGGCAATGTTAAGGTATTGTGATCTATTCCTTGTTTTTTATTGTAAATTTTTATCTGCATTTCTTAAACCTCTATTGCTATGTATTATTTATCTTTTCATATCATAATTGTAGTGTTTACAGTTACCAATGTTACCATTTGTAACAACCCACATTAACTATTTTGATGAGTAATTCAAATCCAGAAAGCCATAAAAATAAAAAATTGTAACAACACACTATAATGTCCTTATTTTTCAGAATTTAAATTTCAAAGTCAAAGAAAGAGAGATTTTAATAAGTTTCTTACACAAATAAATCTCAAAAAATTTATTCTTCCAGGAAAGACGACAAACAACTATTATACTAAAAATTCTGATCATTTAATAATATCAATATTTGCCAACAAAGTTGGGAGAGAGAAATGGTTCCTGAAATATAACGTGCTGATTCTGAAGTATCAATCAATCATCATATAAGACACTCCATTTCAGCATAAAATATTTAGAAAAGTATTTTGCATATTTGTCACTTACTTCCAAAATTCCTTTTACTATACTCTGTTTTAAAAAGGACGTACAAACTATAATTAAAAACTAGTACTATGTGCAAACCACAATCTAAATATATAAAATTACTTGTCTTGACTGACTCACTGATTCATCATCACCCAGAGCAAACCACTGAACCTAGAGGTAAAATTTGGTACACAGGGTACGTCATGGAAATGCACATTAAGGGCTGTTTCACACTATGGACCCACTGATCTGACTCCAAGTCGCGTTGCCATGGCAACAGCAGTCGACCAACCGACTAGCAGTTCCAGTCGAACAGATTTAAAAAGTTAAATATTTGTAGTCAGGTTGGAGCAGTCGGTGAGCTACAGCCAATGAGAGCTTCAAAACTACAACCAACCAGACTTTGGATATATGAAAACTATTGAATCAATCAAACATAACTTTACATTATATATACTTCTAACTCATTTAAATTTTCTCTTGTACCTTATTTCTTTCATAACTGCTTAAATTTTATATGGGAACATAAATGACTAATATATATATATATATATTAAAAAACATTATCGACATAATGAGAAAAGATGGTATTATTTAGACTTTTTGGAAGAATTTATAAATGAAATAAGATAATTTACGCAAAGTTTAACCAAGTAGATTACAAAAATACTTTTAAAAATTATAAAAACGATTTCTAACTCCCGTTCTGATTGGTCCTTACAAATTGGCCACTGACATATAATCGTACTCAATGTGAATGCTTCTATTACTAGTCAGTCCGATTATAGGATCGGTCGGGTTGGACCAATCAGTTATAGTGTGAAACAACTCTAAGAAGGGATTTTTGGAAATTCCTTCCCCACAGGGGAGAGGGAGAGGATTAAGGCTTAACCTGAAGAATGGCTTCTACTGTACTATTTTAGATGAGATTTTTTTGTTTTCAACTACAGTTAGTCTTTATTGAGTACTTAGGTGTATTAAATTGATAACATTTCAGACATTGTTATAAATATTTTCATATATTTCGATTTTTAACCAAATGTTTGAACCGTTTTAAATTTGAATTTGTTATTGCATATTGGTTCAATTATAGAATGATTGTAAACGTTCCAGAAAATTAATCAAATTGAAAACAGTTTGTTTGATTCTCAGCAATTCTCATCATTCTCAGCGGTAGGTGTTATATAACAATTACCATGGTTGTTGAAATACTTAATATAAATGGAGTTTGCTTCAAAACCACTGTGAGCAAAACAATTTCTAATATTTAATTATAGCCTTCACATAGCCCAAGAATTTGGCATATTGTTTGGCATGTTTATCAAACATATTATCTGTGATTTTTTTTTGTTTTCTGCAAATTAAATTCACATTTCAGGTTGGTTCATTCCATGTTACAACAATTACACGATGATGATAATTCACATTCCTTAATGTATATTGTATAATTGCCTTTGAATAAATGTTATACATAAAATACAGTGGAACCTCGCTTAACAAGTATAATTCATTCCAGAATCTTACTTGTAATGCGAAACACTTGTTAAGCAAAATAATTTTTCCCATAAAAATTAATGTAAAATACGATAATGCGTTCCATGACGAAAAATACTCAAATATATTATATACAGTATAATGTTTATTCAAAGAAAATTACACAATATACATTGTTAAGAAGTGTGAATCATCTTCATCTTTTCTTCTAGCACAGAATAAACCAAGCTGAAATGAGAATTTGATTTGCAGGGGGGGGGGAATTCAGATATGTCTGATGAAGACGCCAAATGATATGCCAAATTCTTAGGCTATGTAAAGGCTATAATTAAATATTAGAAATTAATTAATTTGACTAGAGGTAAGCAGTTATATGGCCATCTCGTATTAAATTTAATAATTACCGTATTTTTCGCCGTATAAGACGCACTTTTTCTCTCCAAAATCGGGGGGAAAAAGTGCCTGCGTCTTATACGGCAAATACAAAAGCCCACCATGGCCCTCCGCTGCCCCTCCACTTCTGCATACATACATAACCGCAGGAATACTCGGCCACTCCATTCCCTTCCACCTCTTGGCGCCGTCTGATACCAGGAAGCTCCGCTCTGCCTCGCGCTGCGATTGGCTGGGCGAAGAGGCACGTGCCTTCGCTCTCTCCCGCGCTGGCTTTGTGCACTTTTTAGAGTCTCGTAAGCCAGCACGGGAGCGGGAGCGGGTGAAGGCACTCGTCTCTGCGCTCAGCTAATAGCAGTGATATATGTAGTATGGTATATCTGAATGAAATATATCATATTTCATACAACCCCATCAAGATGTCAAAGCAGAAGAGACTGGCATATAAAGTTGCTTTTAAGCTGTTTGCTGACTGTTTATGATAGTAAAGATAGCTCTTAGTATGTTACATGGTTGACATAAAATTTTTCTTAACTGCTGTTAACTTTATACAGTTGATATAAAATATTTTACTACAGAATTTGGTTCATAATCTTTTTTTTTCTGAATTTGCCTCCTTTAAAATTGGGTGCGTCTTATACGGCGAAAAATACGGTAATTAATTTTTAATTTAGACATTTCTAAAATTTAATTTTGAATTGGTCATTAAATTTAATACAAAATGGCGTGTCTATTATATAATGGACTATGATTGTTGTGTTCATACATATGCATAAACATCAAGTTTGGAAAAATGTGTGATCACGAGTGACACTAAGATGCTAAAGTGCTGGTGAAACGAGTGCTAAACACAGACTGATGGAGCATGTGCACAATCCAGGATTTCCTCTCTCCTTGCCGCTCATTAAGTGAGTCAAATTTTTACAATTTGTTTTGCTTGTGATGCGAAATGCTTGTTAAGTGAGGTTCCACTGTGAGTATTTTTTCAGCGTAGAACACATTATCATATTCTACATTAAGTTATATGGGAAAAATTGTTTTGCTTAACAAGTAAGATTCTGGAACAAATTATGCTCGTTAAGCGAGGTTCCACAGTACTGCAAGGCCCATGGCAACCATCCCTCCTGTCCCCCCTCTGATAGGCTCTGATCTTGGTTATAAAGTTATGGACCCCATTTTTATTATATTGTTGAATTCTTCATCGCAATAAATAGAAAGTGACAAAGTTTCATCAAAATCAATCAATCAAATTTTGAGATTGATATAACACTGTAAATGATATAGAAGAGGCTTTCACTAATGATCCATCTCAAATATTCTAAATATTAAAAACTAGTAAAATAATATAATTAATAACAACCTTTCAAGTATTAGTAACAAAACTTTTTTAAAGTTTATTTGAACTTTTAAAAAGAATATATATTTATTTTAAATTTACAAATGACTTTTTCCTTCATAAATCTACAAGAAAACTTAATTTCAATAGTATAATTTACAAATATTACCTTGAACGAGAGCACGAATGACGTCTACGTGAATAAGATCGAGAATACGAGCGTGATCTAGATCGTGAGCGAGATCTACTTCGTGGACTCCTGCTACGTCGACCATCCTCACCTACAGGTGATCTGGAACCCGGAGGAGAAGGACTTCGTTCCCCTGAATGATGAGATCCATTTTCTTGTGGACTTGGGCTTGTCTGGAAGTTATTTTATAGAATTAAGCAACTTAAGCATACAGCATAATATTGATTTTATGTATATAATTTAAAATTTCTACAATGATTATATTAAATTACACATTAAATAAACTATATTACATTTTACCCAGACCCAGAATTTTTGTGTGGTCATTATTAATTAATAAACTATTACAGTAAAATTTAATTTCAATAAATTTTAAGTTAAAAATACGAAATGTCAGATTTATTTTTGTATTAAACTTCTACTTGATTTTAAAAAATTCTTTGTATAAGCAATAAATATTTAAATCAAAATTTAGAACAAAAATTTTTAAAAATTTTTCTTCTAAATTTTGATTTAAATATTTATATTCTATATTAATTCTGAATTTCAATTGTTTTCTATTTAGGAAAAAAATCAAATATAATTTTGTTTTTGATATTTTAATCAAATTTTATTTTCACAAACAAATAAACGTAGGAGCAATATCAAATTTCATTTTTCCCAGTTTTTCAAAAAATCTAATTTTATTCGAATCAACTCAAATTAATTCGATCAATCATCTTTATATTCTAAAACAGTAAATTCTCTCGACGTCCACTTCTATAACACAAATATTTATTATTTATAACAGAAAAAACTGTATTAA